TAGCCAACGATGTATTTTGTTTCGCTTCATCACTTTTTGTTTTCAGCAAAATACGTTATTACAGGCCTAAATCTGTTGAGCCCAATACATTGTCTAAACGGCAACGACAATCTAAACAAAGGTGGGACATTTCGATCTACATAGGTGACCATATTTAAATTGGAAGAAAAAGAAATCTACATAGGCGCCATGTAGGAAAACAAAGGCGAGACATGGCGATCTAACGGATGAGAGGCAAATATGATCCTAAAGTATAATTGTAAGGATAAATATGTCAAGAAAGTATAACGAAAGGCAAATGTAACCTTTTTTGAAGAGTAGAGGGGTAAATATGATCCTAAAATATAACGAAGGGCAAATGTAACCCGTTTTAACGTGTAAGGGGTAAATATGAACCTAATGTATAACGGTAAGGATATTTTTGATAGAAAATTTAAACGGAGGGTAAATAAGGCCTAATTATGATAGTAGAGGGGCAAATCAGACCCTTATCCGATCTCTATCTATCTATCTATATATCTATCTATCTATCTATCTATCTAAGGCCTAATTATGATAGTAGAGGGGAAAATCAGACCCTTATCTCTCTCTCTCTCTCTCTATATATANCCTTATCTCTCTCTCTCTCTCTCTCTCTCTCTCTCTCTCTATATATATATATATATATATATATATATTATTATAAAAGCACGAATACAAAATCGGTTTATAAAAATAATCTTATAATATTAAGCATAATAACTCATAATAAACGGACATAACCGGAATTCTAGATATTAGCCTTATAATCCTATTAGATTTAGGACATAATACTACATGTCAGGAATCCTACATGATTACTTTTAGGAATCCTATTAGTATAATTACTTTTGGGTTGTCTAATTCATATAAAATTGAACAAGTAAATATCTTTATTCATGTAATCCTATTACTTTTAGGATATACTTCTTAAAAATTTATATTACTAATTTAATTTGAAAATATATTATAATATCCTATTACTAATTTAATTTGAGAATGTATTATATTGTCCAAATCAATTTAGAAAATAGGAGAGACTATATTATTATAAAAACATAAATACAATAATAATATACCAAAATAGCCTTAAATTATTAAACGGAAGAACTCATAGAGAAGGGACATAAATGCAATTAACTATTTTTTGGATTACAATACCTTCTATGCTAATTTTTAATATTTAAGATTTTAAAATTAATAAAATTTTATCTATTAAATTCTTATTAAAAATATGTAGAAAGGTTTAATAAAATTAATTTAATAAGAATCCTCCGTATTGGCAATACATTACCACTCCATAATGTCCAATATCAAAAAATATAAAATAATATTAAAGATTGCATAAAGAGTTAAAATTGAGAGAGAGAAAAAAAAGTCCCGCAATAATATATTTTTATATTATATTTGAACTATTTTCCTACTAAAATAATATTTTTTATCATTTTTTTGTGTAATAATAAAAAATACTCAATTATTAGACAACAACTAAAAAAATATTTAAGAATATAAATGTGTGAGAAAGAGAAAGAAAAATGGTTGGTTAGAGTCAATACCACTAATGATTCTACTGACATAAAGATTTAAAGTAAAATGTTATATCAATCTTTTACTCTTTGAAAATAAAATTTATGGTGGATAAAAGTATAATTAAGATTAAATATTCAAAACAAGAGAAGAACTAATATTAAGATGTGAATCAACATAGAATAAATTAATTTTTATATTTAAACCAAATAATTAAATCTTTTAATTAATTATTTAGCAAGAGAATCTAATTCAATTATTTTCTAAATTTATCATATGAGTAAAATTCTTATTCAAATTAAAAAAACATATTAGTGTACATAAATTTATTCCATAAAAAGAGCGTTAGAACACAAAGTAAAAAGGTTAGCATGTTATTAAGAATCAAAATGTTATACCAGTATATGAGGAAGCACAATCAAAGCTAAATCCTAAACAAGAACAAGCTTTCAAGAATATATTATAAAGAGTCGACTCTGTTATAACATGATTATTCTTTGTAGATGCCTCCGACGGAATCGAAATAATATTTCTATGTCATGCATTATTTGCAAATATCATATCAAGAGGCATGACATTGTTAGCAATAATAGCAAGTGATATACCAACAACGATTTTATTATGAGACCACCCACTTTAGATTAGATATACCTTTTCAAACAACTTAAATAACCATCATAAATATATCAAAGCAGAATAATTGTGCTAAATTTATAAGTAAAACAAAATTGATAATATGGGATGAAGCACTTATGGCTAAGTGTCAAACGATCGAAATAATTGCTCGGAGTTCTAGAGATATATTGAATATCAATGAACCCTTTGGTGGAGATCAATGGTTTGAGAGGTAATTTATGTCAAGTACTACCAGTAGTTCCAAAATCGACAAAAACAGAGATTGTAAAAGCTAGCTTGCCAAAGTTATACTTATGCCCTCAAATGAAAAAGATTCAACTGACAAGAAATATAAAGTAAGAACAAATCCAGTATTCAGTGTCTTCTTCCTTCGTGTCGGAAACGAAGAAGAACATCCAATAAAAAAAGATTTGGTTCCTTCTAAACACTTTGTTATCAATCCCACTAATAATAGTGGTGCATTTAATAAGAGAAATATTTTTATCATTAGATTAAAACGCAATTTGTGCAAATCGCATGATAGAATTAAAAAGATATCTAAGCTAGCAGAAACGAATATGTTGATCAACTAAATAAAAGGTTCGATTGCAAAATTTTATAGTAAAAACAAAATATTTTTCTGTTTTTGACTCAGCAGAAAATGATACCAATAATTACTACCAAGAAGAATACTTAAATACTTTAATACCAAATGGTCTTCTACCATATATTTTTGTTTGTCAACTTTATTATTTCTTACATATGTTAGTGTCACCGTATATATAATAAACTAAGTTAAAATTGATCTTCCATTGTATATAGGCTGATTTTGAAGAAAAATATGCTTATCGTGCTGCTGAAAAACTTAGATACGTCGAATAACTTATGTAATAGTACACGGATGGTATATTGAAGTTTTGACAACAAAGTCTTACATGCAAAAATTATTATACTGGTCAATGTGCTTCTAAGTATATTCTTATTCCCGAATTCAACTTTCGTCTTTCGAAACTAAGGAATATCTAATTTAATTTGTGTGAAAATAATTTTTAGTATGTTTATGTTATGCAAACATAATAAATAAAGCACAAGGACAAACATACTAAATATTGGACTATATTTTGCCGTAATATATTTTCTTGCACGAACAACTGTATGTTGCACTTTCAAGAGGGATATCAAGATCGACAACAAGAGTTTTGGTTAAGGCATAGCAACCAAAGCATCAGGAGGAAACATACACAAAAAAATATTGTCCACAAAGAAGTGTTCGTTAAAATACAATCACATTAAATACTTTTAAACTATAATACATAATTATTTAACTAACATTTCAAAATTGATCATTTGTGTAAGTTTTGATGATGTCCTTTTATTTTAATTCATGTATTATGCTAATGTGATAATATTTTTCGGCATTTACTGATTGTTGTATTATTATACATAAAACTTTTCTCATTAATATAATTTTATTGTTCTTTCATATAAATAAATGTTTAAATCATCAGATACCATTATTAACGTGCAACGCACGTTCATAAATACTAGTATATAGAATATAGAATATAGAATATAGATATAGATATAGATATAGATATAGATATTTAAATTCAAAAATAATAACCAATAACTAATTATTAACTACTTATGCCATATTTTTTTTTATATGATGCCACTTGGCTTAAGGAGAGGGTTTTTTCCTCTCCTTTTAATAATATATAGATATATATTATTAACTACTTATGACATGTTGCTTTTTTTTTTTTTTATGATGCCACCTTTTTTTTTATGAGAGGGCTTTTTTCTCTCATTTTAATAATATATAGATATATATTATTAACTACTTATGACATGTTGCTTTTTTTTTTTTTTATGATGCCACCTTTTTTTTTTATGAGAGGGCTTTTTTCTCTCATTTTAATAATATATAGATTATATAATATTATACAAAAACTAACTTCATCTCCTTCCCTGAGCCTGTTCTGAATTTTAACTGAAATCTAGCTCAAATCTACTCCAAATCACTTCTAATTTAAGTTTTGAACTCTTCTTGATGTTTCCAATCAATTGGAAAACACCCAATTCAAACTACTAACAAACTCGAAAAATCCAATTTCTAAAATTAAAACTTCGAATAACCTTTAATGGCGAACTTCTATTTTTCAAGTTTTCAATCAACTATAGTAAAGAGAAGCTCGACTTCGGCTCAAATCTATTTTCAATAAATCTAAACAACACCCGCACCAATTTTTTTCTACAAAAACCGTATTCGAAATCCAACTCACTTCTTTAAACTTATTCAACAATAGTGAGTTACCTTTTTAATTTAATCTTAATATCTGTTTTATAAAATCAGTACTCTAACCACGATTTAGGGTGTTATCTGCTTGCAGTGTGTCTCTCTAGAACATGAAAGCATGTAAAAGAATACAATACAAAAAGATGTAATGTTCAGCTAGAAGTTGTTGGACCATTAAATGATGATATTAAAGAGCTGGTATGGCTATGGCATGTGAAAATCTTCGAAAGCCATTTATATAACTGGATTTCACTGTATAATTTTTGGATTCTTTTGGATTTGCTTCTGATTTAAGATTGATAATGAAGAGATGCTGATTCGGTTTCAAGCCGTGAAAATAACATCTTGCAGAAATGCAGGCTCAGATTGCGTACAATAAAACTTTGTGATTCAACCCTTCCCCGGATCCCGTCAATAATGAAACGTAATGCACCGAGTTGAATAATTAATTATTATAGGTTAATTCTTCCGACCCGAATTTCTGTCGTTGGGCCCAACTCAACCCGCTCATAAAGAAAAATAGGAAGTATATACAATAATATCAATTTTACCCGTCCTATGAAGCGCCCTAACACACCCAAAGTCCCTACAGTCAATTGTCCAAGCTTTTACCATCGTTGAGTTCTGTGAGCTTAAGAGCAAGAAAAAACTTTTGGGAAATTTCCCAATGTCTTCAAACAACCCTTCTCAGCTTCTTCCATCTGGTAATTTCCCTCCTAAGGAGCTTTATTAACTATGATTTTAACCTCTTTATTCAATTTTTAACGTTTCTTGATATTTTTTTTTTCTTCTGAAATTGGGTTTTTGAGTTTTAATTTTGCAGAGTTGATTGATCGTTGCATTGGGTCAAAGATATGGGTGATAATGAAGGGGGATAAGGAGCTAGTTGGTACCCTTAGAGGCTTTGATGTTTATGTTAATATGGTTCTTGAAGATGTCACTGAATAGTAAGTAGTAACTCCCTTTTTCTCCTTTCAGATTTTTACTTGTGTTACAGTTCTTTTTGTTGATAATTTACCATTGTTTGTCAAAGATTTTAACTTTAGGGTTTTAGAATGCTAAAGGGGTTTAGAATTTTTTGCCTAATGTGTGGATTGGAACAAAGATTGATTAAAAAGAATGCCTAATTTGCACAGTTTATTTAGGACCTTTTTGTAAAAATTGTCAAGCTTAAAAATACTTAGGAACTAAGCCTGGTATTTAAGTGGAGAAGGGTAGAGGGGCGCGCCCAATATCCCTGAGTTTTGAAGTCTGTGGTTGGTCCTAAAGATTGGGCCCGTATAGATTTCTGGGTCATCAAAAAGAAAGTTACCATCTTTATACTTATAGGAACGTTTCTGTTTTGTTTTCAAGGTTTCATAACCATATTTTTGTTTGATTTTTAAAATTTTCTTATGCGTTTCATCTGCATTTCATTTTGGGTATGGCTTCCTGTGTAGTTAAACATATTCAAGAATAAAGTTGTGAACTTTTGGTGAAGTTTGACAAGATACCAGTTTGTAGTGTTGTAATGGGCAATCTTGAATATTGATTTCAAAGCCATGTCCTTCTAGTGAGCTAAGTAATGCATGTTTTTTTTTCAATCTCTTATCCTAGTGCATCATATCAACCGTTGGATTTTATTATCATGGAGCGGGTAAACGGATCCCACCATGTTAATGTAGTAAAGTTATGTATGGTCTACGCCTAACTTGGTATACTTCTGCAATTAAAATCACATATTGTGATTGTGACTGTAGTTTCATCACTTTAAGCACCTTCTTCTTGACGTAGAACTCAAGTATACATAAGTTGGTTTTTATATCAATGCCTGCAATCGAGTCTGAAGTACATTTCATTCATCTTCATTTATGCTAGCTAGTTGACATATATGTTTGTTTTCTTAAGAGATCTATAATTGGTTTATTTATGAACTAAGTACTTTTCTTAAGCTGTCCTAATTTTTTGGTTCCTTATGTTGAATAAAGAGTTGGGGTTTTTTATCTATGCACTGTTTTGCGTGATGTCCTGGTAAGCCAAAAATGCAGCTTCTCCTACTTGGAACTTGGGTCCAATCTTTACCGTCTACTCTTCACATCCACTTGTTTGAAATTTTTGTTTGCTAGTAACTACCAAGTTGTGCACAGATTCCTTTTTTGATCAGTGATTTCTGCACAGATTTATATTCACATTCTTTTAAAGAGCATAGTTATTGAATGGAGGTTTTAGGCAGCATTTGCCTGGTATATTAATGATTTAGTTGAAAGTTCGGTCTCAAACTCTAGTTTAGCTCAAGCAGGTGAGAGTTACTCTTTATAATTTTCCATGTTAGCTCTGTAATTCCTAATATCCCCATCCTGGCTCCACCCTCGTACCTCTGCTATGAGCTATGGTTGAAAGTACTATCTATCAGTCCACTGCTCAACAATGTTACAATATTTATTTCACTGCTGTTTCTGTAATACTTTTCGGCAACTTGGCGCCTGATCTCTTTCACTGGTACTAAAATTTAGCCTTTGTATCTCTATTACTTTGAGGATTTAGTTTTGTTTTAACACAGACTTTCGAAAGTTCTCAGTCTATCCTGTTTTAGATGATTGAAGTTGTTATACTCATGGTCAAACAAGAAGAAACTTTGAGAACTTTGAAGTTGGATAATATGTAGTATTATTTTGGGAGCCTGGTTTTTTAATTTCCAAGTGCAATCAATATGTGTTTACACAGAATACTGAGAATGCATTTAAAATGTGCCACTCTTAACTCAATCTTATCCACATGGAGTAGAAGCAGTTGTACTCTGGAAATTGAATGACTAGATTAGATGTTATTTACATTGTCTGTTGTACAAATCTAAAAAAGATTATTGCATGATATAGTAATAGTTTCTGAAGTTGACACATGAGACATGCTACTGGGCACTGTTTCTTCACATCCCTTGCAGCTTCGTCGCTTGTCATGCAACGTTTGATACAGGCAGATTTTTTCTCACATTTTTAATAGGCACCAGAATATAATTAGTTACTGAAATGGAGGTTGTAGGCTGCATTATTCTGCTGTATTGATGAGTTAGTATATAATATGGTCTCTTAAGTCTAATTTAGCTCCACCAGTTATTTATTTCACTCCCATTTCTGTTCCTTTTTTCAGCAACTTGCTGTCCTGATATTTTACAGTTGGAGTCTAAAATTTAGTAACTGTATCTTCACTAAAGTGAAGGTTTGATCTGTATAAACTATAAAACACGCTAAGACAATAAGAATAGAGAGCCCAGTCTGTCTATCTGTAGATGATTTATGTTGTATCTCTTAAGCCCTGCTTGCTCTAGATTGTACTTCACGGATAAATGAAAATGTAAAAGGGGGTGGGGTGGTGAGTGCGAAGTTGATTCCTCATCCGTCCCGAAATGTTTTGACCAGTCGTCCCTGAAGTCCAGTCCAATATTGTGGAGATGTGCCATTTCAAAAAAAAAAAAAAATCCATTTCAAAAATATTGTGGAGATGTGGATGGTTACTTGTGAAGTGGGATAGTTATTGAATGACCAGAATGCATGCTTACTGATCGAAAGGAGAAAAAGTCTGTAGGAATTTGTTTTCATCTTTTATCTTTTAAATAAAACATTACGTTTGAAGTAATAATTTCACGACCTGAGATGTTCAACATGCTCCTGGCACAGTACTTTTCATTCTGTTGCAGCTCTTTGTTGTTTTGCAACAATTACTAGCAGGCAGATATATGCTCACATTCTTTTAAGAAGCACCAAAATATCACTAGTTATTGGATAAGGTTTTAATGCATTTGCCCCTTGATTTCATGGAGAAGAAAGTATCTATTTTAGCTCTCTTAGACTCTTAGTTGAAATGTTTGTCTCTCTTAATCTAGTTTAGCCCCCGCAGATGAAGTGCCCTTTAAACCCTCAGGGGTTGGCCTGGTGGCAATTGACTTGAGCCTTGGGGTTTGCTCCCTTTCAAGGTCTCAAGTTCGAAACCCACTGGGTGCAAACAATTTCTGAGGGCCATCGGACTGGGTAAAACCTGAATTAACCGTGGTGCACTTGCGGGAAACTCCTTGCCGAGGGCCTGTGCACCCCCGGGATTAGTCGGGGCTCAAAGAGACTCGGACACCCGGTGCAAAATCAAAAAATGAAGTGCCCTTTATACTTTTGTGGTTGTTATCTTCATTCAGAAAAAGTGCCCTTTATACTTTTCCATATTACATCTTCATAAAAGTTGATATCGAAGTTTTTGGTGGAACATAGTTTGTGCAATTTGAAGAGGTCTCCTTCTGGCCCCCCTCGTTATGAAAGAAAAATTTACACCTTCCTGCCATGAATGAAGTTGAAATGGACTATTTATCACTCCGATGCTAAAACCTTTTCACTTTTCCTACAGTGAGATCACTCCAGAAGGGAAGCGAGTAACAAAACTTGATCAGATTCTGCTTAATGGAAACAATATTGCTATCGTAAGTATAAGCTATTCTTTCTGATTCGAGTTGCTTCTTTTCATTTGCATCCTGTTCTTTACTGATATTCTCATTTTATTCCTAGCTGAGCTTGAAATATACTGAGTGATCAGTAACGAACCTTTTTTTTTAACTAATGCAGCTGGTTCCTGGTGGGTCACCTGAATCTGAATGATATATTACGATATGCGACTTGTGCTGTTTATTGAGATTAGTTGATGATGCGCTCGAGACATTTAAAACTCAAGCGGCATTTTCAATATGTATTTTCAGTAATTCTTACTGTACAAGTTTACCATGAATCCATAACTGGCAAGGATTTTGTAACAGTGACTTGTGAGTGTGTTCGGCTAGTCTTTCTAGGATAATGATAGTTGCATTATATCAAAAAACTTCATGATCCTATGGCGAACAATACTTTGAAACTGATTTTGTTCAGGTGTTATTACCTTTACACTATGGAGTTTTTGCAGAATTCTCTAAATCAAGTGCTTGTGAATCTACCTTTACTTCTTTCCAGCTATGTATGTCCATTGTTTTCTTTAGTTCACTTGAGATATTGTGTGCCCTCTGATGTAGTCAAGCAGGGAAATAGCTAGAGGGGAATATCTTCGTTCTTATTTATTTATATGTCCATACATTTATTTATTATGATCAAGCATTATTCACACAATTTTTTGGCTGAAGAATTTAGGCACATACTTGTGGGGATGGAAAACCAATGCATTCTTGGGCGAACATAGGCATTGGCGGATAGAGTTATTTGTACTAATTGGAGGTAGCAAATAGAATAATCGAGGTGCGTCCAAGCACAGAGTTATGTGTACTAATTGGAGGTAGCAAATAGAATAATCGAGGTGCGTCCAAGCAATCATCCTTCGGAACCATATCGCATCCTGGTTATGATAGAAATAGGATGAATTGAAAATCATCCTTCGGAACCATATCGCATCCTGGTTATGATAGAAATAGGATGAATTGAGACGGTATTTTTGTAAATAACTCCTCCTTACCCAAAAAGAAAGGACCATAGCCTAATGTACAAGACTGGAACTCAACAACACTTGTTTTGGGGCTTCTAACGTTTTTCTTTAGTGAAGTTTTTCCCTTTCTTCTATAATGCAGATGTTGATGGTGATAGCACACAACAACAACAAACCCATTGAAATTTCATAATTGGGGTCCGGGGACAATTGGAGTATTGGGAAGGTAGTGTATATGTATACCTTACCCGTATTCTCGGAAGATAGAGAAAATATTTCATAAAGATCCCGGCTCGAGCAAGAAAATGATAACAATAACGTAAGAAGTAGAAAAATTAGATGGAAGAAAGCAATAGACTTTGTTGATAGCATAATAAACTTTATTAGTCACTACAGAAATAGGGAAACATTTTTCTTTTTGCGGTACAAATTCAGCACCAGCTTAGTACTGCCCTATAATGAGATCCTTCTTGTACTCATTAGAAGAATTTATCCTAATCACAGTTGGAAAGTTTTATTGTACTTTGCATCTAATGCAGGATTATAAGATCAATTAGCCATCTACTGACTTCTCAAGTTGCATCCCAATGCGAATTACCTCGTCGGCTTCACGTCCCTTGATGTCGAAACCGCGGGCACCGAGATTACCTCGTCGACATCGAACATCTCCTTTATGGCCGGTTATTCTCCATATATCATCTTGACTCTTCCCAGTGTGGGGAATTTCAACGCCTGGTGCAAGGTCGAGGGTACCACCCACATATTTTGAACCCATGGGCTTCCGAACATGCCGTTGTGCCTCATGTCCCCCTCGATCACGTAGAACTTAATTTCTTGGATTGTCCCGACGGTGTTCATTGGCAAGGTTATTTCCCCTTTAGTAGTTTCATATACCATGTTAAATTCGTTCAACACCCGGATCGCTGGCACGATTTGGTCCTGTAACCCCAATTGCTCTACGACCCTCGATCTGATGATGTTGGCCAACACGTTTAACTCGAGATTTATTGATAAGTACGGATATTACCAGTGCATCATTGCAGGGTTGTACGATGCCCTTGGTATCTTCGTCGCTGAACAAAATGGCTCCCTCCGGAACATAATCTCGGGTGCATTTTTCCCTCGTGATGGATATTTTAGTGCGTTTGATCATTGACCCTTGGGGGACATCGACTCCTCCGATGATCATGTTGATTACGTGCTGAGGCTCCTCTTGTACGACCTGTTTGGTGGCATCCTTGTTCCTGAAGTGGTTTTTGGCTCGATCACTCAAGAATTCTCGGNGTTATAAACCTCTCAAGCCACTCGACCTCTTAGTAAAACATGGTATTCAGCCCAAAATAACATTTATATGCATCAAAACAGAGTAATGAAAATAGAGTTATGCAGTAAATACTAAACAAGTATAACCATGACTGAGTATAGATTTTCAATCGAAAATAGTGAGAGGATAGTAAGAAAAGGCCCCTAGGGTCCAAACAACACTAGCACAAGGCCCAAACATGACATTCAACCCAATTTACAGAAAACTCTTTCTAAAAACACATAAGTATCATATAGTTTCAACAAAATATGCAACTTTACAGTTGCTACGGGACGGACCAAGTCACAATCCCCAATGGTGCACGACAACACGCCCGTCACTAGCATGTGTGTCACCTCAAAATAGTAAAATGATACGAAATCCGGGGTTTCACACCCTCAACACTAGATTTACAATCGTTACTTACCTCAAACCGGTCAAATCTCTACCCCGCAATGCTCTTGCCTCTGGACTCGGTCTCCAAATGCTCTGAATCTATTAAAAACCAATACAATACCATCAATACGCACTAATGGAATGAATTTCATAAGAAAAGTAACAAAATTAGACCAAAATCCGAAATTGGCTCAAACCCGCCTCCTGGCCCACGTCTCGAAATCCGACAAAATATACAAAACTATAAAGCCCATTTACTCACGTGTCTAACCATACCAAATTCATCAAAATCTGACATTGTTTGGTCCTTCAAATCCTTAAATCACTTCTCCAAAAATCCCAAGCCCTAACCCCTCATTTTCACTAATTACAATGATTAAACAACGAAAAATCACCATATATACAAGTATTAGGGATCAAGTAGCTTAACTCAATGAAACCTCCTTGATTCCCCCTTCAAATCTCTCCCAAAAGCTCCAAAATCGAATAGAAAAATGGTGGAAATGAACCAAAATTTGCGAAGTGCTATCTATACATTCTGCCCAGATTTTCGCACACGCGGCCTATTCCACGCGCCTGCGGGACCGCACATACGTTTGAAAATCCTCGCACCTGCGAGAATCACTTAAACTCTCAGCCTCCGCACCTGCGCTCAGGTCTCGCACATGCGGGCTCGCAGGTGCGGCCAAATCCTTCGCACATGCTCTCCACACTTGGCCTCCCATTTTCCGCATCTGCGCCCCAGGTCTTGCACCTGCGGGCTCGCAGATGCGACAGACTTCTCGCACCTGCGCATCCTGCCTAGCCCAGAACTATCCGCACCTGCGAACTCCCCACGCGCACCAACGACATAGCACTTGCGACTCTTTCTTCCGCAGGTGCGGAAATATCAATAGCTTCAGTTGCATTTTCCAACTTTGACAAATCCGTTAACCACCCGGAATCACCCTGAGGCCCTCGGGACCTCAACCAAAAATACCAGCAAGTCATATATCAACATACCAACTTATTTGAACCTTCAAATCACTCAAAACAACATCAAATTATCAAATTACCCTCGGATTCAAGCCTAAGAACTTCTAAATTTTCAAATTCGGCAACCGATGCCAAAACCAACCAAACCACGTCCGAATGACCTCAAATTTTGCACACACGTCACAAATGACACTACGAACCTACTCCAACTTTCGGAATTCCATTCCGACCCCGATATCAAATTTTCCACTCCCGACCAAAATCGCCAAATTTCCAATTTCGCCAATTCAAGCCTAATTCTACCACGGACCTCCAAATCACATTTCGGACGTACTCCTAAATACAAAATCACCTAACAGAGCTAACGGTACCATTAGAATTTAAATCTAAGATCGTTTACACATAGGTCAACATCTGGTTGACTTTTCCAACTTAAGTTTCTACTTAAGAGACTAAGTGTCTCAATTCACTCTAAAACCTCTCCGGTCCCGAACCAACTAACCCGATATAACATAATATAGCTGAATAAGACAAAAAGAAGTAGAAATGGGGAAAACGAGGCTATAACTCTCGAAATGACCGGCCGGGTCGTTACATCCTCCCCTTTTTAAACATCCGTTCGTCCTCGAACGGGTCTAGAAACATACTTGGAGTCTCGAATAGGCGTGGATATCTGCTCTGCATCTCCCACTCAGTCTCTCAGGTGGCCTCCTCCACAGACTGACCTCTCCATTGCACATTCACTGAAGTTATATCCTTTTACCTCAACCTTCGAACCTGCCGATCCAAAATAGTCACCGGCTCCACATCATAAGTCATATCACCCTCCAACTGAACCGTGCTGAAATCCAAAATATGGGACTGATCTCCAATTTACTTCCGGAGCATGGAAACATAAAACACTGGATTCACACTCGACAAGTTGGGTGGAAAAGCAAGCTTATAAGCCACCTCCCTTGTCTTCTGAAGCACATCAAAAGGCCCAATGAACCGGGGGCTCAACTTGCCCCTCTTCCCAAACCTCATAACACCCTTCATGGGTGATACCTTCAGCAAAACCTTATCCTCAACCATAAAAGACACATCACGGGCCTTCCTATTTGCGTAGCTCTTTTGCATAGACTGTGCCGTGCGAAGCCGCTCCTGAATCAATTTCACCTTATCTAATGTGTCCTGGACCAAGTCTGTACCTAAGAGCCTAGCCTCACCCGGCTCAAACCATCCAACCGTAGATCTACACCTCTTCCCATATAAAGCCTCATACGGAGCCATCTGAATACTCGACTGATAACTGCTGTTATATGAAAACTCCGCGAGTGGCAGAAACTGGTCCCATGAACCCCCAAAGTCAATGACACAAGCATGCAACATGTCCTCCAATATCTGAATAGTGCGCTCGGGCTGCCCGTCCGTCTGAGGGTGAAAAGCTGCGCTCAAATCAACCTGAGTACCCAACTCTCGTTGCACTGCCCTCCAAAACTGCGATGTAAACTGAGTGCCCCTATCTGAAATGATGGAAACTGGGACACCATGCAGGCGAACAATCTCTCGGATGTAAATCTCATCCAACCGCTCTGAAGAGTATATAGTACCAACTGGAATGAAGTGCGTGAACTTGGTCAGCCGATCCACAATAATCCAAATAGCATCGAACTTCCTCGAAGTCCGTGGGAGCCCAACTACAAAGTCCATGGTGATCCGCTCCCACTTCCACTCTGGGATCTCTAAGCTCTGAAGCAAGCCACCCGGTCTCTGATGTTCATACTTAACCTGCTGACAGTTGAGACATCGAGCTACAAACCCAACTATATCCTTCTTTATCCACCTCTACCAATAGTGCTGCCTC